GTTGCTGCCTTTCTTTGATAGTTTGACAAGGTAGCCTTTCTTCCAATCCGTCGATGCCTTTCCCTCCCAAACGATTCTCAGTAGTGTTGGGTCAGCATATCTACTCTGTGTGTAACACCCGTTTCAATCGGTGTAATTGCACGACCTTATTGATTGGCTTACCCTTTTAACCTAACACTACCACCTACTACTTGGCGGTTTATCCCACTCAAGCGGAACTGCAGCACAAACATCTGCAGTTTTCTTATCTTCCACTCACAGCAACCATGTTTCATGTCCATAAAGTGAGAAAGTGTGCAGTGATCGACAACCATATGCTGTACCACTTCACTCACCCCCTGTTCTTACGCTTGGAGTCGGTGAAATGGAGTCGTACAGTCCCATCTATATATATGTCACACGAATAAATCGCATGGCAAACATTTGAATAGCTCTGTTCAAGGTGTTCAGGAGACTCAATATTTTGCCAGCATATTCACCTAGGAGGGGGAGGACTATATCATCCGTATATCCTAACTCAACAAGATCATTCCCGTATAACAAGTCAATCCCTAGAGCACTAAAGTCAGAGTCATTTCCTTATTAGTTTGTTTATTAAATGTATCACCACACAGTCAATGAGTGAAACAGTATTAGTATTTACTGGATGACAAAGTTTCGAACACACACAATTCATTATTGCTGTTCATAATCATACACATCACCAATTATAATCACACGACTTCGAAACTTGAGTTTTATAGTTTTCTTTGTCCTCTTCTATTTGTCGTTGTTGTGGTAGTAGAATTTTCTAGATGTCCAACTGGACAGGTGTTGAATCGCTAAACAAAGCTTCTGTTATTAATCTTCCCCACTCGTCACCCTGTTAGTTTTATTAGATTTTGAAACTGTCATCTTATCCCATCCAGCCTATTGTATGGTTGTGTGTAATTGCGTGTCATGTAGTGGTTGCGATAGCTGCTGAACTATTCTCTAGATTTCTTATCTTATTCGGTTGGGTCAACTAATCTGCTATTATTATTATTATTATTATTATTATTATTATCACTACTATCATTATTCATTTTATTTTTACATTTCCCTACATACTCTCTGACTAATTTATCAGTATAATTATTCGGTTTCAAGGCTTCTCTTATATGTATCACTTCCTGTCTTAAATTTTCCTTGGTACTACTTTTAGATTTTGGGCTTTGTCACTTAAACATTTCACCAATCTTATTTTCATCGACATAGGATGGGTGGGTTAATCGGGAGTCCAAATATCTATTTGAATGTGTGGGTTTCCTGTAAACACACTAGCGTATTTAACTTCTCATCTTCTTTCCTTTTTACACTGCAATCTAAAATTGGAAGCTCCCCCGTTTCCTGATTTTCCAATTCATCATAAGTGAATTGAATTGCCCCCACCTTTGAGTTAATGTGTTCGAAAAATCTTTCTATATCCTGTGTTCTAAGTACAGTGAATATGTCGTCTACCTCATCTCCACCATACTAATATGAAATTACTTACTACTACAGTGTCTAGGTTTTACACTCATTTTCTACACCTTTAGAAAACTTCATGCTTTTGTTTTGTTATATTCATCTAATACATTGCTTTTAATGATAACAAAGGCATCATCTTTTTGTCTCAGCCATATTGTCACGACTAACATTTGTTTCTAATAAGTGCATCAACGAACTAGCCACTACCACGGAGGTACTTGTGACAGTATCTATACCGTCTGTTTGACGAAAAACATATAAATGCGTAGTCCTAATAGCCTCATGATGTGTCATCTAGGCTCAAACGACAACGAGAATTTAATTTGTTAGAGAACAATTGGAAAACCTACACGGAGTACTGGACAGTTATTTTGTCAGCCTAGTTTGGGGCTCTTCATCAGTGCGCACCCACCCCACTGGCAGCGTTTGAACCCAGGACCTTCTGGTTACAAGGCCAGCGAGCCAGCTCATAGACCATTATTATTAAGCCACTGGGACCGGATCTATTTTACTAGTGGGTGAAATGAGTCGTTGAGGATATTTTTTTAAACTAGCTGTGTAGTTCCACACTTTACGCCCAAGCATTCTATCATCATTCTTTTACTATACAACAGGCCATCTAGTGGAATCCAAATGGGAAGCGACGAGTTTGTTGTCGGTCTGAGGGTGACATGGGGAAGGAGACAGTGCAAAGAGGAGATGACAAGTTATGAGCAATCGTGGAGCTAGCCAGCTGAGGAGGATGGCAGAAAATGGAGCGAAGTGGAGATGTGTTTGCTGGTGGAACCCGCCCTATGTTCCATTCGGGGAACACAAGGGAATAATAATAATTTTAATCTAATAATTTTTAACTGATTAAAAATACCCATTAAAAGTGTTTTCAAAAAGAATGGATAGATACTGAACAAAGAATAAGTCCTCTTTTCGATAACCCCTTCCTCCCCATAATCATCTGGCTCTACAGTTAGTGATATATCCATCCATTATAGTCAGTGAATGAATGAATGAATTAGTGTTATGAACAACAACAACAACATATAATATTGCTGTTTAAATGACACCGAATCAATAATAATAATAATACCAGTGGATTACAGTTCAACAACATCAACATAACAATACCATCAGCCCCAATGGGCTGATCTCTGACGAAATCTCAGCAAGAATACAAGGGGCTCGTTTCGCATTTGTTAGTTTACGCCGACTCTGGCGTAGACGAGATGTTCGACTTTCGACCAAAGGGCGAGTGTACTGCTCATCAGTCCGCTCCGTCCTCCTGTATGGTTGTGAGACCTGGCCACTGAGAGTGGAAGACATGAAAAGACTAACTGTCTTTGATCATAGGTGCCTGCGTTCTATTTCCCGTGTAAAGTGGCATAATAAGGTGAGCAACATGGAGGTTAGGCGTAGAGTTCTAGGTAAACAGAGGAAATCAATCGACGAAGTCGTGAAGCTACATCGACTGAGATGGTTAGGACATGTGTTACGTATGCCAAGCCATCGCCTCCCTCGACGAGCAATGTTAGCGGATATAGGGTCAGGCTGGAAGAGAGCTAGCGGCGGTCAAACAAAAACTTGGCATCAGTCAATGAAATCCACAACAGTTGGTCTAAGCCACGTAGAAAGGTGTAGACTTCCAGGCTGGGGTCCTTGGGACGGTAAAAATCTATGGTTGGAAACAATTGGTGACATGGCTCAAAATCGTTCTCAGTGGCGCAGATGCATCCACTCCCTGTGACTTATGATCTCCAATGAAACTGTTTTGTATTTCTTTATTACTCCTTTGTCTCACACCTCTGCTCACTGTTTCTATTATGCTTTTCTTGTACTTTCTTCTCTTGCTTCGCGTGCTACGCGGAATGTGGCGACTTGAACTTCCGCACATTTGTGCAAAGTTCTATGTCGAAAACAGACAGACAGATACACACTGAATGTCAGACAGAGAAATTAGGAAAGATAATATTACAAATTCATGAATTTATAGTCTTCACCCACTGGAGGTCGGCCAAGGCTGTAGTAGGGGCTGGCTAGCTAGCTGGACTTGCTTCTTCTCCACACACAGCACTCACTGGTTGTTTAAGGCGGATTACAATAGCCTCTGGTGTTTGGGGCATGCGGTGATTCGATGATGATTTCGTCAATTTATTAGACACCCGGTAGATGATGATAGGCTGGCTTTGTGGCCGGCCGGTTTGCACCAGATGGTCCAATATCGAACTGTTAGTGATGGTTTTCACTACACACCTTTACTTAGCCATACTGGGAGATGTTCTCGAGTGAGTGAGCACGAAAAATCAAGTCCCTAGAGCAGCAACGGGCGATATAACTCGCTCCAGATTTAATTTTAATTTATGAATAATAGAGTACATATAGCGCCAATAAAGGCAAATGATAATAATATCAAAAACTGTATTAGGAGTGCATGTTTAAATTGAGAAGATGATAGTCCATTCGTTAGCATAGTCAATTTAATGTGTATAGGGGGTGTATAGTCAGAAAAATGTGATGAAGTGTGAATGAACAATTGGGTGATATAGTGTTGTTTTATAGTCAACAGAATACAAGTGTCATTGGGATGAGAGAAATGGGATAACCACAAAATACATACAAACACACCTTAACAAAGGGGACACTAAATGTGAAGGCTGACCGATAATGTGTAATGATAAAATAAAGAGGCTAAATTATAAATTGTAATAAGATGTTACAGAATTGGTAGGCTTAGTATAAAATCATAAAGTTTGACAAAAAGTAAGGGTAACAATAAGGTGAAATAAACTGGTTGGAGAAATGGATAATAAAGACATGATATCACGAAATAATAATAATGATAATAATAGTACGAAAAGATTATGATCCTGGTGACCTTATAGTGGGCCAGGGTAGACAAAGAGAGTGAATAAGTTTTTTCTGCATACATAGGTCTGGTCTCTCTCTCTCTCTCTATTAATCTCTAAAGCCTCAGCTATGGCTAGGAGGCTTAATCGTGTGCCTTTGGGGAGATTGTTCGGTACTCGATACACAACTGTAAATGACTCATCTACTTTGATGCTGTGTGTTCGCTCTCCACTAGATGAGACAGAATTGCACTATTTAATGATTTGGTTGCTGTTTTCCCAAGCCAGACAGGAATATGTTCACGAGTGCGTAAAGGTAAATTCCTTTGGGTACGACCTAAGTAACTAGCTCCACAGGAGCAGTTGAATTTATATATACACATTGATGTCGCCATTTTGGGCAATCTATCTTTAATGCACAGTGTCAATATCGGTTTGGTTGTGAAACTGACGTGCAGTTTTGCGGCATTAAAAGTTCTTTCAATTGATCTCGTTAATCTACAGTTAAATATATTGCTGGATATATCGCCTTTGAATTGTACATTTAAATGAAGCTTTTTCTTACTTACTGTGTCTCACTTAGTTTTATGTGTAGTTTCATAGATATACTTCTTTACAAAGTTGGTAGGATTTAACAATTTTTCTTTTTATCTCGGCAATTCCAACATCATCTAGGGTTCATCTTGTTCGAACACCCGGGAAACAATTCGGTCTACATATCCGTACAGGTGTAATTCAATATTACACAAAGAATGGTTATGAGACAGTTCCAGCCTTTTTCATCTCCCGTCTGACAGAAGATGGTATCGCCTATAATACAGGACTGTTGGCCGTCAATGATGAGATCATTGAAGTCAATGGGATTGAAGTCTACGGGAAATCATTGGATCAAGTCAACGATATGATGGTTGCAAATAGCTCGAATTTGATCATCACGATACGACCAGCTGATCAGAGTATGTGTTTACCGCCTCCACGAGAAATTTCACGTTCGCGATTTTCACCACAAAATTCTGACCTACTGTATGGTCCACGTAAAAATATTGGCTATGCCCAGTCTCCAGGACAACAACAGCTTCAAGCGCAAGTCGCCACCTCACGTTCGTCAGGAAATACTTCAACAACTCCTACTACTACGATTGATGGTCAATTCTCCAAGATGGGTTTACATAATGGTGTTGACTCTTCTACAATACAAATTAATGAGGAGGTTGGAAGTGATGACGATATGAACGTCGGCTTAATTACAATCTAATCCCCTTTTTCGCATTCAATTCAATCCATTGACATTCCTTAATTTTTTTTTATTATTTTAATTTTAATTTTTTATTTAAATTCCCTTAGATTGGGGAGGGGGGTGGCGATGAATAAATTAGTTGACTACTTTATCACAAATTGAAATTTTTGACTTTTGGTGGATGATAGACAGACAGACAGATGAATGAAACTCGTGTCTCTCTACTCGCCGACAAACATATCACACAAACACGCCAAATTTTACCCTTGTGATTTCCAATATTCTACTTTATTCAATTCTTCCCGTGTCATCGAAGCATTCCAAAATGCGGTGTACTTTTTTCCGTCTTCAAAAAAGTATTAAACACATATATTGATTAACTAACAACAAATTTTTTTTCAAAAATAATTTTTTTTGGTGTTTTTTGTATCGTGATCAGCTGAACAACTGTAGCGTGTAGCCGTGATCTTTACTCTCCGTGTCCACACACACACACGCCCACCGAGAGAGAACAGTTTACACAGGTGAAAACTGTACTCCAGCTTTTTGTATTATTATTTATATTTTTAATGACTTATTTATTTATTTGGAACTCGTGGTACTTTGCTACTTTTGTTTATGATATAAATTTTAGCGCTATTATTATTATTATTGTAATTTTCAAATTATACATATCACACTGCTCAAATTTGTCGACTACTACTCACTACTACTACAACTGCACTATATAAAGATATTCTTTTATTGGTTTGTCCATAATCAGTTGTGTTATAAATATAAACTCTATTCATCACTCTTCTTTCAGTCACTTAGCATGATAAGTTTTGTTTTTTATAGTGTGTGAACTAAAACTAGTGATGCGTTGGTTGGAGAGGGAGGGGGAGTTTAGTAGTGGACCTCCTTCTTTTCGGCTATCGACCAAAGGGTGTGTGTACTGCTCAATAGTCCGCTTCGTCCTCTTTTATGACTGGCTGTGAGAGCTGGCCAATGAGAGTGGAAGACATGAAAAGGCTGGCTACATGTTTTCGAAGATAGGTGCCTGCTTTCTTCTATCTCCCGCGTGAAGTGGTACAATAAGGTGAGCAATATTGAGGTGAAGCAGAGGTCGAGTGCTAGGTGAGAGGGAGGGGAAATTAATCGACGAGGCTGTGAAATTACATCAACTTAGGTAGTTAGGACATGTGTTACTTATGCACGACTAGTCATCGCCTTCCTCGACAATGGGTAATGTTAGCTGACATAAAATTGGTCAGGCTGAAAAAGAGAATGCGAGTGGTAGTCAAACCGAAACATGGCTTCACCAGTCAATGAAATCTACAACAGTTAGTTTGAGCCGGCCAGCCACGTAGGAAGGTGTAAACTTCCTGACTCACTGGTAGGGGTCCTAGGAATGGCAGAAACTAAAGAAGGCTGGGAACAATTACTGATATGGCTCAAAATCGTTATTGATAATAGCGCAGATGCATCTACTCCTTGTGACTTATGATTTCCAATGAAACTATATTGTTCTTCGTTCGTTATTACTATTCGTTTGTCTCATACCTCTGTTTACTGTTTCTATTATGCATTTCTTCTGCTTTGTGTGCCATATAGAGGGAGTGTGGTGAACTGAACTGGTGCACTTCGGTGCAAAGTTCTACGTCGAAAACAGACAGTTGACTTCCAGTTAATGTGAGTCCCGGATTCGAATCCAGTTTCACCTAGATCAGTTCATCTCCAACCTCTCTCTAGTCAAATATATGTGTGTGTGGCTCTTGTTCTGATGATTGAGAGATCTGTTCCTTTGTAGTTGAGTTCTGATTCACTTCCCGGGGCATAAAACACGTTGGCTTAGATATGTATATGTATGTATAAAGAGGCTTCTTTTTTACAGACAGTGAGTAGTCCTTTTCCGCCACTTTCTTTGTCATTTGTTTCTTGATAAATTATTCGGTATAGCCATTTTCGATCAAAGTATCATATACAATGCTTAATTCATCTTCAATTACTTCTTCTGAGTATAATAGCGCTAACTAACTCTGTAGCTGAGAGGCTTCACTAAATTTCTTTTATACTTGATAGGAACGAAGCTGTGAAAATGTGTATAACATTGTCCTGTCCAAGTGCTTTTTCTATGCAAATTTCTTTTTATGCTACCATCTGGTTTTCCTTTAAGTAGGACATCCAGGAATTTGTATCTACAGGCTTCTACAATAATGAATAAGGTAAAGAAATCTACAGCGGAATTAATACGGAGAATGAAGCCGTCACTGGGTGAGTCTAAATGGTTTACTTTAATGCCTAAAACTAATAATACTAGTAGAATATATGGTACTATTAAAATACATAAACCAGGTTACCCCATAAGACCAATAGTAGATTTTAGAAATACTCCCACTTATGAATTATCAAAACACTTAGCTCTAATACTTTGTCCCATTAGAAATCGCTCAAACTCTAGACTAACTAATTCATATGAGATGAAAAGTAAGCTAAATGACATTCAACTAGAGAATGATGAAAAAATGGTTAGTTTTGATATAACTAGTCTTTACACTAATATACCAGTCATTATGGCCTTAGAAGCAGTTAAAAAAGAACTAACTGCGGATCCTGAACTGAATCATAGGACAAAGCTGCCCATTGAACAAATTATGTTAGGGATTCAGTTATGTCTCACATCTACCATCTTTAAGTTCCAAGGCAAAATATATAAACAAACAGAAGGTGTAGCAATGGGATCACCAATATCTCCTATTGTAGCAGACATATACATGGACAGCTGGGAAAGTAGTGCTCTTAATACGTTTAACCCCACTCCAAAAATATGGTGGAGATATGTGGATGACACTTTCACGGTGTTAAAAACAGAACATATCTCTAGCTTCCTGACACATATAAACTCACAAGTAGAAGGAATTAAATTCACATTTGAATCAGAAAATGAACTAGGAGAATTAGCTATGTTAGATTGTAAAATAAAACGAATAGAAGAAGGCAAACTACACACCAGTGTTTATAGAAAACCAACACATTCTAATAGATATTTAGACTTTAATTCGTCTCATCCGTTAACTGTTAAGGCAGGCTTAGTAAAGTGTCTAACAAATCGAGCCATAGCACTAAGTAGCACAAAAAAGACCTAAATGGTGAAATAAAACAGATAGAAGAAGCGTTGGTGTTGAATAACTATCCTATAAAATTCATTAGGAAGATCACCAAAAACCAAAAGCAAAATAAAAATAATGGTGAAACTACTAATGATAACACAAATAAGAAGGAATATAAGTCATCCACTGTTATACCATATAAGGAAAGCACATCTGAGGCCCTACGTAGGATTCTTAATAAAGCAGGAATTAGGGTGGCATTCAAACCTACAAACTCACTCAGAGACAAGCTCTGTAGGCTAAAAGACATCCAGGAAGGCAATTCATTCTGTTTTGGGATTCTTCTTCGCACGTGAATTTCATAGCCCATATTATCCATCTGCCAACAGTGTTATTCAACTTTTAACAAGTATCCCTACTTCTATTTAACTGTGTAAGCACACTGCAAGATGTTGTAAGGAAAGGTATATTTACACGGTGTAGACAGAAATGTATATAAACAGCAATGTCAGTTTGTACATAATAAAAATCAGCAAGACTGGTAGGAGTTACTGATAAAAGACAGAAGACCAGTAGTTCAGCGAAGAGTCTCTTTTATCCGGCGAATTCATTTTCATAGTTGTACAATCGCATATATATATATATATATATATATGGTTATTTTCTATATGTGTGTGCATCGAATTTGTCAAACCAAAATATAATTAGTCAGTTCAGGTGAATTGGATGTTGATAAAAGAGGGCAGTAACAAAAATGATAAGTTGTCACAAACAATTGTTAAAGAAGAATTACGTAATATCGTGAATAGTCTCATTAAAAAATTGTGCTCACAGTGTATACATAGAAACAAAATACATACACGGAATTACGCAAGGGTTTTAAGTAGTGGTGAAAGTCAGAGTGAATGAACATAGACTTTGCACGAAACGTCCACCTGGAAATGAAATAGAATTAAAAAGTCTAGAAAAAAGATCGGCTATAGCAATGCATGCGATAGACAGCGGACATAAGACTGATTTTGACAATGTCGAAATTCTTGGAAGAGGATTTCATTCACATAAAGAATGATTGACTTCAGAAGCCTTGCACATTTTAACCACATCAAATGCAGTGAATAGGAAAGAAGGGATAGACTTATCACCTATATGGCAAACTCTTATGAAGCAAGACAAATGAAAAAACAACAAACACTCTATGAGCCTCCATGACCTTTAACATATGTAGTGACACGGTTATCACATATGAATTCACGTATTTTCCATATGACAAATAACATACACACACGTACAAATCTAATCTTTACAAATCAACTATAGAAGAGTAAACACAACAACAATTTGACATTGGTCATTACAAATATATGAGAGGACAGCTTACATATTTCTATTGGTAAAAAAATGTCCATAGACAAATGACCTTCAAATAAACTGACTTCATTTTATGTAAAAAAAATTTTTGGCTATATATTTTGATGATTAATTATAATCCGAATAAATCTGCTGAAGAAGCTGTGGCTTACACGGCGAAACGTTCAGAAAAATCTTGTTTTGATTTTCTTAACACGCTGGGATTAATTTAAATAATTTATAATGAATCAATCTGATTCGGCGCTCAAATTATTCCAGGAAATTCGTAACACCTACGGTCGGGAAACCTATAATCTGTTTTATAACTGTTAATTTTGTATTTCCCCTCAGTATGCTGCTATATAAACAGAACATTAGATTTAATACTCTGTAATAACATGGTAAAATTTCTATACTGACTGAATCGACAATATTGTTTGAAACAAACTCACTGTTATTATTACTATTATTATTATTTGTAATATTCTCAACTCGTACTTCGAATATTTTTGACTTTGTATCGTAAATCTGGACAAATTCCTATGGTTACTTTTGTTTTAATTTTATCAATATTTTGAGTAA